GATAAATATGCATTCTGTGTGAACGGCTTGGTTTCAGTTTTAACGTAAACAACATCTTCTCCACACTGATGCTCTCGTTTTCCGCAATATATTGAATGAACAACGTAGCAGCGCCGCATCTAGTGGGTTCAACTGGATAGGCTAACAAAAGCATTAAAATGCAATGACACTTACATCGTCGTCGCATTTCGTGCACCACTGATAGGCTGCCTGACGGCTGACGCAGACCTCAAATTCGAATGCAACATTTTTGCATTCGAATGTGGATTATTTTTTCAATTCGACGAATATTCGAAATTCTAATTTTTTTTGACAGCCCTAATGCACTAACTATAGTAACGACAATAAATTATGCATAATTACATGCAACTAACCTTCATCCTAACTCTATAGTAAGTACATGTAGTTAATTAATATTACTCAGTACTTAAAAGTATAATTACACTGTAACAAAGATGCCATGAAATAAAGTGTTACCAGAGTAAAAATCGACCCACAGATGGCTCACTCAAAGCCATCTCTGCACATTTAAGCTGTAATATCAAAATAAAATAAATAACCGGTTGTTCATCCATACATACATATATATATATATATATATATATATATATATTTTTTTTTTTTAGGCTTAAATATTTTTTGAGTGAACAGGAACAAAGAGCATCTAAAAACAGTAATAAAATTAGAATAAATCAAGGAGCAAAGTTTAATGTGACGTTAAAGCTTTTTTTTATGCAAAAATATATAAACGACTGTTTCTAAACAACTTTCTGGTTGGGACCACAACATGAGAGTTTTTTTTAGAAAATAGTTAGTAAAAATCAAGTTAACACACTAAATGTGGATTATTTTTTCAATTCGACGAATATTCGAAATTCTAATTTTTTTTGACAGCCCTAATGCACTAACTATAGTAACGACAATAAATTATGCATAATTACATGCAACTAACCTTCATCCTAACTCTATAGTAAGTACATGTAGTTAATTAATATTACTCAGTACTTAAAAGTATAATTACACTGTAACAAAGATGCCATGAAATAAAGTGTTACCAGAGTAAAAATCGACCCACAGATGGCTCACTCAAAGCCATCTCTGCACATTTAAGCTGTAATATCAAAATAAAATAAATAACCGGTTGTTCATCTTACCTGCAAAACCACATTAGCATAGTCATTGGCCTTGATATTATTCAGACCCACAATGCCTGGCAGATAGGTCGTGCCATCGTAGGCTCTGTACAGCTTTCCATGCTTATCCAAGCCAGCGATATGCTGTTTGGTGAATGTGGGTTTCAGCACATACTGGAATAAAGAAATCAAGCAGAAGTGAATCAGAGACGTCAGTGTTTTATCAGGGTTGTTCTACATTAGAGGTCGACCGATGTATCGGCTTTCAACATTTACTATTACTATTTTTTATTTACTACTACTACTAGTATGGTTCAATACTGTTTTTGTTAATAAAGCACTATTTTAGTTTTTGTTCAGTATCAATTTTAAAACTATCGGTTAATTAATCGGTATCGGCCAGTGTGGTCCAACCTAGCTATCGGTATCGGCAAAATCCACTATCGGTCGACCTCTATTCTACATGACATAATTTGCTGAGACAAAAAGTAAAATGGCATTGCACTTCTCGCTGTAATGAGACAAATAGCAGTGATATACTGACTGACACTCAGCTGATTGATGGAAGCCCGCGTCAAGACTGTACTCACCGTAATGTCCTCTAACGAGGAGTCAATGATCTCATAATTGTCCGGCAGGCAGTAAAACTTTAACGTGTGGAGATTCAGGAAAACATGGTGTGCGAACTGAACGCTGTGGATGTACGCGTGAGACTTCTGACCTCGACCTGACAGAAGCCCAAATAAAACAAATGTATTTTTTGTGAATATAACTACAAACCATCATAATAACAAGGTTATCTGTCACGCTTACCTTGGAAATATTTCCCACAGATCAGACAGGCGTAGACATTAATATGTGAAAGAGAGATTGAACAAAGCTTCTCAAAGTCAAAATCCAAAACACTCCTAAAGAAAAGAAAAGAGCGCATGTTGTAGCAGAAGAGCAGCGTTGGGTTACATTAATAAAGACGCTCTCAGTCATTCGTTTACCTGTTGATTGTGTCCAGATATGGACAATGGCGGCTTCTTCGATCTTCAACGCCACGACTGACTTTCACACGCACCTCTGCAAAGAACACATGTGGAGAAAAACATGTTGAATTCTATGCTCTCAATTCTACATTAACATCATCCAAACATGCAGATCTCCATTCCATGATCCGCTGTAATTACTGTTTACAGGATATTCACAACTTGTGAAAATGAAAATATTAAATACATTCAAATGTGTGTTAAAAACTTCTATTCATCATTTGTTCTCATTTATTTTGTAATATCACTTTTCTGACACTGTAATACGGTTATGATGTATTTTCTATATGCAGTGGTTACTATTTACTATATAAAAAAAGGATTGTCTCCGTTCATGGATACTAAGAAGTGAGATTTCAATCATATTTTGGCCACTGAACTAGAAAATATATTAAACAGATATCATAATGCCTTTCCGTCACAGGTGAGAGCTTATACTTACGATCTTCTTAAGATCAATAGCTTGTTTAGTGCTAATTTCCAAGCTAGTTTAGATCAAAGCATCTGCTAAATGCATAACAGTACATGTATTTTAGCGACTGACGTTACGTTGAAAACACGGGCCTGCAGATTTAGACTAGCGTTACTGCTAAACTATCACGTCGTAAACGCTCCAAACATACCTTCCTCTTCGTCTCCATCGACGTCCCTCTCCCGTTTCACGCCTGCGATCATCTTACGTCTAAAAACAAGTTAATTTCAAGTGAATTCACTGCTGAATGAACACTTCTTCTGCGAGCGTTACAAAACTCCCGCCTTCACTTCCGCTCTAAAATTGGGTGGCCAAGAGCACACTAACCCGGGGTCGGAGACAAACACAATCACTGGATTTGTCATGAAACGTACTTTCTGCACTTCCGACTACATATTGTATGATGTATTTCACTTTTAATATAGAAATACGCGCTCCGGGGTTGTAGGAAGGACAAAATACAAGCGCAGTCGTTTGTGGGGAAAAAAACAAACAGCTCCGACAACTCGGAGTTCGCTTTTTATTGGCCAGCGTTTTTTGTTCTCGGCCCCCCAGTGTTCGGAGAGATGTTGTAGAGGGAATGTGTAAGATTGTGCTAAAATGAATTTATTTTGAGGCTAGAGCAGAGCCATGGAGGTCATGCCTGAAGCAGAGGAGGAGAGTGTTAAATACAAGCCCGGCGGGCGTTTGGACATGAGCCACGGGTTCCTGCGGCACATCAGGAGGAATCAGATCGCCAGGTCTCTGCTCAAAACAGTCTGTCCGTCAGCAGACAGTTATTGTGTTTTCTTAGTACGTTGTAGTGGCCCGTCTTATCTGAAACTATAAATATGTAGTTCGAGATCTCAATCCTGTAATGCCTGGCATATTAACCCACTTGTGTTGTTCGCGTCTAAAGTGACCGGACACCTGAAATGTGTTTGTTTTTTCTCTCTCAGTGAAATCAATGTAATACGTTTTTGCTCAATAATAGTTTCTTTTCTTTTTTATAAAAGAATTTCATGGTACTCATCAATATTTATGCATCAATTTTCTTTCCCATTGAAAAAAAAAATATATATATATTATAATATTTTTGTTACTTTTCAATTATGGCAGTGTTTCATGTTAGAATAGAGACAATGCCTTTAAAATCCCATTTTTGAAGGCAGTTTAGTGCCATATGGTCGGAATACAAAAGAAAAACATCTGAAATGTACATGGTTTAGCCACTAGATTCCTATAGAGCTCTATATAAAAAGGCTTATAAATTCTCTAGTTGTTTTTAGACACTTATTTTTTATTAAAATTTGGATATATGTTTAGACATTCTCAAAGACAACTTTTTGTAAAGCTTTAGCTTTTTTTTGTTTGAAATGGCAGTTTTTGCATTAATTTACTACAGTCAAACCCGGACACAGAGAAAGACATTTTGTTACACAACATCAAAGTTCAAAAATGAACAGGAATGCTTTATCAGAGGTTAATCAATCTGATTTCAACCTCTCATTCGAGTCTTCTGGCTCAATTTTGCCATATTGTTACAGCCACACCAGTTCGTGTGTGTGTGTGTGTGTGAGTGTGTGTGAGTGTGAGTGTGTGTGTGTGTGTGTGAGTGTGAGTGTGAGTGTGTGTGTGTGTGTGTGAGTGTGAGTGTGAGTGTGTGTGTGTGTGTGTGAGTGTGAGTGTGAGTGTGTGTGTGTGTGTGTGAGTGTGAGTGTGAGTGTGTGTGTGTGTGTGTGAGTGTGAGTGTGAGTGTGTGTGTGTGTGTGTGAGTGTGAGTGTGAGTGTGTGTGTGTGTGTGTGAGTGTGAGTGTGAGTGTGTGTGTGTGTGTGTGAGTGTGAGTGTGAGTGTGTGTGTGTGTGTGTGAGTGTGAGTGTGAGTGTGTGTGTGTGTGTGTGAGTGTGAGTGTGAGTGTGTGTGTGTGTGTGTGAGTGTGAGTGTGAGTGTGTGTGAGTGTGTGTGTGTGTGTGTGTGAGTGTGTGTGTCTGTTTTATACTCTTTAGAGTGTCACGCCTTCATTGCTGTGCACTTTTTTCTGCATCAGGAATGATTTGTAGATTGTACACACAAAAAATTCTCCGTATTTTTGCGTATTTCCAATTCATTTCCAATGGTGGTCATTTTTGACCGCAAACAACACAAAAAGTGACTATTTTTTTTAGGTCTTTTTCAAATCGAGTTCACGATTATTTTTTTATTTTATTTTTTTTGTGGTCACATAGTGACTGCCATAAAAGTCATCGAGTTTTCGATGACCGAACAACACCAGAGGGTTAAATAATGGTAAAAACATTCAATTTAAAGCAGTTTATTAACCCTTTAAACAAAACATGCAAGAAAATCTAAGAAAAACATGTTTGCATATGTGTGTTTTGTTGAGAATCGTATTTATACATCAGGATTTTATGGCTCATATAGTATGGTAAAGTGAGAATATGAAGGAAAAAACACCTTAGTTTTTATTCAGCCCAAACTGAGCAAAAATATGCAATTTGGTGCAAATGCTGATTTTTATATGGCCAAAACATAAGATGAAATTCTGACAGCTTGTAATGTAAAACAGTGAGATCTTGAAGTGGCTACTTACTTAAAGGATTAGTTCACCCAAAAATGAGCATTCTGTCATTAATTACTCACCCTTGTGTTGTTCCAAACCCGTAAGACAATTTAAGATATTTTTGATGAAATCTGAGGGCTCTCTGACCGTTCATCTTCGGAACACAATTTAAGATATTTTTGATGAAATCTGAGGGCTCTCTGACCCTCCCATAGACAGCAAGGTAACTACCACGTTCAAGGTCCAGAAAAGTACCAAGATGATCGACAGAGTAGTCCGTGTGACATCAGTGATACAACTGTAAAGTTACGAAGCTACGAGAATACTTTTTATGTGCAAAGAAAACAAAAATAACGACTTTATTCCACATTTTCGTCTCTACTGTACAGTACCACGCTGCCACACGCAAGCGTCATGATAATGTGGAATAAAGTTGTTATTTTTGTTTTCTTTGCACATAAAAAGTATTCTCGTAGCTTCGTAACTTTACAGCTGAACCACTGATGTCACACGGACTACTCTGTCGATCATCTTGGTACTTTTCTGGACCTTGAACGTGGTAGTTACCTTGCTGTCTATGGGAGGGTCAGAGAGCCTTCATATTTCATCAAAAATATCTTAAATTGTGTTCCGAAGATGAACGAAGGTCTTACGGGTTTGGAACGACACGAGGGTGAGTAATTAATGACAGAATGTTAATTTTTGGGTGAACTATCCCTTTAAAATGCATATAAATATCAATTGTCACTCTATATTTCCAATTATGTGTCTTAGTAAGATGATATTTAAATGCTTAGTAAATTTTTTCCAGTTAGTGTTAATTTTGAAATATCACTATTCACTAACAAAATAAAAGTTATTCTTCTGGTACCTTTATAAAAATCAGTAAAGCTGAAGGTGGACATTGTTGCAATTATACTTAAAGACGTTTTACTTGATAAAAAAGTGTAAACTAAGGCATGTAGTAGATTGTGTACAACAGGTTAGTGATACATTAATATTTGATCTTCTACAGGGATGATTATGACAGAGAAGTAAAGCAGGCTAAGGAGAAACAGAGGCGCAGACACACCACCACCCCTCGGCGTCCACGGAAACCCGACCGTCAGGTGTATCACCCACGCCTCCGCAGTGAGTTACATTAGCGTTCGATTCAGTATTGCACAGTGGAAAGTGGTTTTCAGCTGGTTTTGTTTTAGCATCCAGGGGGATCAACAGAGTGCCAAAATAATTTATCATACAAAAGGATACCAAAATTGCAGAATTGTAATTTACTTTCCCGAGACATTGTACAAACACTGAGCTAAGTTAGGCATATTACCAAGTCACTTTGTACCAGAATACTGCCAGATTATTGCAATTTATTTGCATTTAATGTCAGAACAGACCTGCAACCCACCAGTATTGGAGCCACTGCTTTGGCAGTACTAATATTTTGCTTTGTAGATTTAATAAATGAAAAATAAAAATTAACTAATGCATCTAATTAATAACTAGCTAAATGAGGATTGATATCGGTAGTAATTGTGAATGTTATGAGTCAGTTAAATCATCAAAATTGACCAAATACTTTTGACACGTTGAGATATGTAGGAGCTTGATGTGTGCTGCTGTGCTCATGTATTGGACACCTGGTTGATTTTAGATGGATCTGAACCTGGTGCGAATGCGGAGGCAGAGGACTGGAATGAGAGCAGCTCTGGCACAGAGCAGGAGAACACTGCCACAGAGCTGTTCTGGCTCGATTATCAAGCTGACAACGGCCAAATAACATCTCTCATTGTTCACAAGGTTTGTTTTGGGGTGTGTTGAGATTCTTATGGAAGCCCGTTTACACCTGTAATTACAACTTTTTATCTCACAAATAGTTTTTTTTAGCAATTGCAAGTTTATATCTCATAATTTGGAGTTTTCTACTCATTTTATGTTGCGCAAAACAAATTCTGAATTGTGTGATGTAAACTCAGAATTATGATTTTATATCTTGCAATTCTGGCTTTTTTCTCTGAATTCTGAAGTTACTTCTTGCAATTCTGTTTTTTTTTTTTTTCTGCCACAGAATAACTAAAAGAAGGTAATTGTGATTTTTTTTTTTAATCTCACAATTTGGACTTTTATTCTCACAGTTGTGAGTTTACATCTCTCAATTCTGAATTTATATCTTGGAATTCTGACATTTTTTCTCAGAATTCTAAGTTTACATATCGCAATCCTGAGTTCTTATCTCACGGTTCGTACTTTTTTTTTTTGCAATCCTGCATTTATATCTCACAATTCCACATTTATATCTTGCAGTTCTGACGTTTTTTCTGATGTTTTCAGCAGGAGGCCGAGTTATGATATTCTGATTAAAAGTTACAAAGTCAAAAATAAAAAGAACACTTAAAATATATATTTTGATGAATCATTTACAATAAGATTCATAAAATGCATTTACAAAATAGTGATTTTTTTTCATGCAGAGTTTTAAAAGATGTAAGTGTGTTCATGATAAGATTTATACCCATTTAATATTTATCAATACAAATAAACTTATGTAAAAATATATAACATATAAAGCATTATTTAGTAAATCTCAGCAGCGTGATTGATTATACTGTCACAAAAATGTAAACTGTATTATCGCACAGCTCTGTATATAAAGTTGGGTATGTATTATGTCCAGCTTTATTCACATACAGTACACTAGCATAAAGCAATATATATACTATATAGCAAATCTTTGTCACAAAATGTAATTAATGCCCAGTTCTTTATATAAAGTTGGCTATATAAGTTTGTCCAACTTTATCCACGTACATACAGTATACACATATGAGGCGGTATATACTTCCTTGTATCATCGCAAAATGTAAATTATATTTTTACCCAGCTCTAATCGACTATAAGGCATGCAGATATTATAAATATTAACATTGTGATTTTCATGATTGAAAACAGTGTGTATTGTGAGAAGCACTTGACTTGACTTAAAAGTCTTTGTTATTGTTAGTGGTCATCCTGATGTATGTGTTAAGAAACCAACAATTAAATCTTTTTTTCCAACCAGGAGGACAAGCCAGAAGTCATTGTGCAACGCGTGGCGGAAAAGAACGCTCTGGACTCGGCCATGAGGGCGGCGCTGTTGGCACGTGTGGGACAGGAAATGGACAAGCGCTGTGACAAATGCTGAGAGAAAGAGAGAGGCGCTTAAATAAAAGTGGAGAACAAGGCACTGAGACACCGCTGAGCCAGAATTAAACCTGAACTGCATTTCTGTACGATGGCACCAAGCATGCAGCATTCATAGATGTCTTGGAGAAGCCATGCATCCTAATTATGTGAAGGTGTAGCCTTCTTGAAAGAGAGTGGACTCGAAACTCAAGAGAAATGACACTGTCAAGCATGAAACTGATCTTGTTTGATCTAAAATAGGATGTATTACAGAAAACAGGACCTGTATTGTTCTTTCAACTGGAAACTGAAATCCTTGTCACTCCTCACTTCACACTTGGGAAAGACGCTGGACAAATGTTGAGAGCTCTAAGGCTTTTTACACCTGAGGTGACTTGCTGGCTCTCGTTTGTGATGGGAATTTTATAACCGCAAGGTCTACATTGCTTCACTAGGTCCCATAAGTCTGTGTCTTGTAGACTTCCAGAAAAGAGTGTTTTTATATACGGTTTAGGCTGAATCCCTACAGAAATCAGGACAAAAATGAAACCAAACTTCGAATGCTTCCAGTCTGTTTAGTCTAAGCGAAGGTTTGAAGGAGTCAACCTATTGCTGTCGTGTAGTTGCTAGTGGAAATAGCTGAGGAAGTTCAAACAAAGTTTAAAGAATGCTAATAAGGTCCTCGTTGCTCTGATATTTATATCCATGCATTTGGATATCTGCCTTTTCCTTTTATGTTCATAAATATTCATGTTGATATACTGATATAAATATCACATTTTCGTCTGTTGGTGCTCATGATGTTGTAGAAACAAAAAAGGACCAATGTGTCTCTTTTTTTCACCTCTTCATTGTACAGGTAGATTTTTATTTTTGTAATCGTGTTCCAACTGTGTACTCTTGTGTTCCTTGTTTAGATTGCAGGATGAATTGTTCATTCTGCCATACAGACAGATGATGGCAGTGTGCACTATGTTGACATCGTGTGCAAAAATAGATTTTTCTTTCACTGAGGAAGGCTCTTTAAATTAAATTGAAGGCAAAAAAGGCAAAAAAAAAAATTTCACGTTTGGTTATGTTGCTACATTGTGTTAAAGGGTTAGTTCACCCAAAAATGAAAATTAGCTTGTGTTTTACTCACCCTCGAAGCATCCTAGGTGTGTATGACTTTCTTCTTTCAGACGAATCCAGTCGGCGTTATATTAAAAATTGTCCTGGCTCTTCCAAGCTCTATCATTGCAGTCAGCGGGTGTTGCAGTGCTTCAGTCCACAAGTCGTCAAATAAAGCTCGCGCATTCATAATAAAACGTGTTTCACACGGCTCCGTGGGATGAATAAAGGCCTTCTGTAGCGAATCCATGAGTTTTTGAAAGAAAAATATCCATATTTCAAACGTAATAAACACTTTTCTCTCACTTCCGCTGACTGTCATACACTGAAGCCGTGCCGGCGGATGATGTAAGACGCGCGGCGTTGCGTGATTAGTGACGAATGCGGAGAGAGAACAAAACAAAACACCGGTCACGAATTAGAATTACAAACTGAAGATTTGCAAAGAAAAATGTCGGAGGATTTCGATATAAACCAAGAGGAGACTGGTTTTCCTTTGCTAAAGTAAGGAAACTTTGCTTCCTTTGCTCCTATTAAACAAACTCGCGAGACTAGCATAT